GGTACCCTGGCGATACCCTCCCCCTCCCCCCGCGACTGCATGCCGGCGCGCGCTGGCCGCGCATCCCGAAAATACACCGTCATCGCTTTTACTGCCGCCAAGCATTTGCTCCTCACCTGCACCCTCGCAAGACGCTTCCGTGCGAGGGAGCCTCTGCCGTTGTTTGTGCAATACAGTACACCGGTGCATGGGCAGCCACTTTAATCTCTCATCTCGAAGCCTTAACCTTTTCCGTGGTTACGCTTCGCCCTGCGCCCTGCGCCCTGCGCCCTGTCGTGTCCACATGACAAGTGACCTCATACGAAGCCCCCTTTGGAGTCAAAAAAGTAAAACAGCCAAGAATACTTCGTGCAACAATTCTTTCTTGTGCCCATGCCACACGTGCGTTGCAAAGTCCGCCACACCACAAACACTTGACTTGTAATGATTTTCTTCGAGATATGCCGCATTTTGAACTAAAGTCCATCGACTGCTTCTACGAGAGTCAAAAAATGAGGTGTTGCAGAGGGCTCTTACAACCATTTACATTCTCGGGAGACAGCTCACTAACTATACAACTTGAGGATGTTCAGAGACGACTCTGCAATAAAAAAAACACTTTATACATAGCCTGGTTAAAGGTACGCGCGTATACCAAGAGACGTTTACGTATCAACGTTTAAAGATTCAGTATTACACTACAGTAAATGTGTGAATTTTAAGTGTCGATCTTTTGTGCAAAACAAACGACCTCATATGAGCTCAACGCTGACCTCATGTCAGGTAAAACGATTCTTGTAGACACACACACTACCACGCTCCCCGTCAATGCATCCTCTGCTATTGTAACTGACTCCGCCTGCCCTGCTGTCATCTGTCCGCCATCTGCGCAATGAGATACATCCGTCTGCGGCGCAGATACAGACCACGCCGACCGCCCTCGCTTGCCCACATCCACGCATCACTGATGCGTCACGCATCACTGATGCGTGGATGTGGGCAGCGGCGTGATGCGGCATCACGCCTCGCCACAATCTCCCGACCTCAACGCAAGCCCCAACTGTGCCTGTGTCCCCACCTCACATTCTCCCTCATCTAACCCCCCTTCCACCTGTACACACTCAAGAACCTTGACCGTGTGTGTGTCTACAAGAATCGTTTTACCTGACATGAGGTCAGCGTTGAGCTCATATGAGGTCGTTTGTTTTGCACAAAAGATCGACACTTAAAATTCACACATTTACTGT